TTGCACATGATCGGGGAGAGGGACACATATTAGCTAGGTGACCTATTCCATTGCGGTTGAAGCATATAGTGGCAATAGCTTCGTCAAGGAACCATTATGCCCTCGTCGCTAGCTGGTTTGATGAGAGTGAGCACCGGTGTTCCTTTGCCATTTCCATAGGAGTGTCGTTAGGCATAATGGACTAAAATAGGTGGTTCCATAGATCAAATGAAATCTTGCGAGTGGAGTTCTTCACTAAGGGCAAGACCATAAAGGGTCTCATAAGTGATCGCTTCATGTCAAGACTCAATAGCTCGCACAAATGGTTGATAAGTCATGCTAAAGCCATACAACAAGGCTTGCGCCAAGTCTTCTTTAGGTACTACCGAGCTAAGATATTAAAGATTATCATAAACACTTTTCCCTCGTTGAAAGTATCGAGGGACAGATTCTTATGGTTGTTGAGTTTAGCGATATAAGCTTCCTTTGAGGTGATTAACCTTTATTCATGTACTAGAACCACAAGTAGTCGAGAGCTTCAACCAAGCTTCTTGGGCGGTATAGGCGCCCACAACAATAAGAAGGATAACTTTTTTCAAAGAACCAATGATCCAAGTGAGTACAAGTTGGTCATTGTGTTCCCAAGTGAGGAATGCTAGATTGGGATCGTTTTCATTAATGGTTGCGGTAGGAATTACACGGGTGTCATCAATATGGTGCATCAATCCATAGCAACGAAGAAGGGGATGGAGTTGCGTCTTCTAGAGAATAAAGTTTGTTAGGGTGAGTTTTAGTAGGGAATGTGTGTTTAGGTTAGGAAGGGATGGTGAGTTTGGTAAGGAGGGACTCGTCACGGTTAAGCTTGCTAGATTGACAAGTTCCGGAATTAGAAGTTCCGGACATAATGCAAAAGGGAGCTAAAAGAAGGAGAATACGACAGTGAAAAAAAAAAGAAGGGAGTCTGTTTTGTGGAAAGAGAGCAAAAGTGGAAGAAACAAATTGTAGCAATAACCATGGGTTTAGAAGCAAAAGGTCGTTAAGCCAATTATAGTAGGAAAAAAAAGAATAAAGATCCGGACGATTAAGTCACTAAGGGCTCTAATACCATGAAAGAGCTATTGATTCTCGTTATTCTCATATATATTCAATGGGATTTAGATAGTGATATATATATATATATATACATAGTTATAGTTGTAGTGATCTATGGATAAACTCGCAATGTTATACTTCTATAAGGAAGCTAACGTTGTAGACTTCTAGTTACATGAGGAAGGAAAAGCTAATGCTACAGCGGTCTTTTAGTTGATTATATATAGATATCACAATATTGGCTTCGAAAAATAAAATAAGAATATAGATTTGTTGTAATCCTTTTAATAAAAGGACATGTTGGAAAAAATAAAAAGATCTAAGAAAATTTTTATAATAAAAAATTTTTAGACTCTTTATCTTTTTTTGAATGAAAAAGGGATACCCCATAGCAGTAAAAACTCTAATGATTTAGACAAAAAAAAATATTTAGATATTTTCTTTGATTATATATAAATATGACAAACACAATACAATATTGGTTTAGAAAATAAATAAAAATATAGGTAAAAGTAGATTGATAGAATGACACAACCCAATGCAACTTTGGTAGAAGTATATACATAATAAAGCTAATAGTACATTAGTCAAGTGGTTACCGACTCAAAGCCTAGGAGTTGGAAGGTTAGGTACTAATTAATTACTTACCATTCCTAAAATTAAATAAATTCAAATAATTAAACAAAAGCTAAAAAACTGGTAAAGCAAATCATTATCATATTCTTTAACAACTTAGCTACCTTCAAAAAATAACATTTTTAATTATCTATAAAATATTTTATTAAATTCTTTTATTCATAAGAAGTAATTTAGTAATTAATATTATCATTTTGGCAGCCAATGATGCCATCTAATAGTGTCATATTTTTGTAGTTAAGGGACTCGGATTTAGGTTATAATAGAAAAAGAAATGAGGGTGAATAATTGGATCTTTTTCCCTAAGAAAATTTACAATATAAGATAGTTAGATACATAAAGACCGAGAAATTAAAAAAATCAGTTAAAGGATGAAGTCGAAATGCTTAAAAATAATATTACAATTTTCGGTTAAAGGGATGAGAAGGGCTCACCTCGAACCATTGTAACTCTCCCGAAGTTGAAGTGCGGCCCGTGCTTGGTTCCTCCACTATAATGCTCCATGTCCGCAACATGGTGCAACAATGTGTTGCCTTCCATATCAATAACTAGACGCAGTCTAGAAAATACTATTTTATTTTGCTTTACAAAACCGAAGATCTCTTTCTTGCAATGGATGACAACCACATCCAAAATGCTCTACCCCATTTCATTGAGGTGTTGATAAGATAAATTAGGCGAGAAGACACAAGAGAGGAATATTTCTCCACTTGTCTTTTAAATTGATTACAAGCCTCATTTAAATATTGGAGGCATTAAATCTATGTACAACTGTATGGTATTCAAAAATGGAAATAGGCTCTAATCTAGGTGCCAAATGAAGGGAAATAATTAAGGAAAAACAACTAAGGAAACTCGCTATTTTAGGTGCTAACTAAAGGGAAACGAGCAAGGAAATACGCGAGTAGTGGTTGAAAGATATTTCAACCCTTATCACTCCCCTTCAAGTTAGAGGGTGCAAAAATATTGAACACACCTAACTTGGAAAGATGTTGATACATCGGATCCCGTGTCATAACTTTGGTAAACATGTCGGCGAGTTGACATTTGGTAGAGATATGTGTCGGAGAAATGAAACCCTATTGTAGTTTTTCTCGTATCATATGACAATCAAGTTCAATGTGTTTTGGTCACTCATGTAGCACTCGGATTTACGGCTATATGAAGGGCGACTTGATCGTCACAATGTAGGGGAATCGAAAGAGTTGATTGAATAGACAAATCGATGAGTAAATTGGATAACCAAGTGAGTTCACAACATGTTGATGCCATAGATCGATATTCTGCTTTAGCAAAACTATGAGAGATTGTTGGTTGTTTCTTAGTCTTCCATGAAATAAGAGCTCCCCTAAAAGGATACGAAGCCGAGAGATGGATCGTCGAGTCATCGGGCATACGACCCGATCGAGTCACGATAGGCGATCAATTATAAATGAGTGTTGGAGGGAAATAGTAATCCCTTCCCTACGGTGCCTTTGATGTACCGTAGCAATTTGAGAGTCGCTTGAAGATGAGGTGCCCGTGGTGAGGCCATAAACCGACCGAGGATATGTACGGGATAAGAGATGCCGGCCGAATAATTAGGGATGAGCATTCGATTAAATGGTTCGGTTTTGTACGATTCGGTTCGGTTTTTGGTTAATCGAATTTAAAAAAAAACCAAAACCGAACCGAAATAAATTCGGTAAATTCGATTTGTAACCGAATTATTTCGGCTTGGTTTCGAAATATTTCGATTTTAACCAAAATATTTTGTTGTAAAAAAAAATCATTACGGATAGATGTTTTGTACTAGCACTTAATCCACTAGCCAATGAAGTAACATCTTGTTATCAATTAATCCTTTTTATAAACAATCACAAAGCCTTTAAAGATTTTAACTAAGCTTTAATGAAAACGAGTCCAAGTGTAATAAATTTGATCATTCAAACACACTCGTATCCCAATTAATTACACTCGTCACTTTCTTTTCTTACCCCATCGGTCCTCAAAATTTACTTCCCATCCGTGTGTTTCGGCTTCAACAAGAATGAAGATTAAAAAGTTAGGGATTTAGAAATTAGGAAATTTTTTACTTTTTATTTCGGTTTCGGTTGAAACCAAAAATTTTTTTCTAAAAATCGAATCGAATCGAAATAATTTTGGTTTTTTCGATTCGGTTTTATATTGTATAATTTTATATTTAAAATCAAACCAAAATTCATAATTCGGTTTGGTTTTATTCAGTTTTCGATTAACCGAACCGTTTGCTCACCCCTACGAATAATAGTGAGGTAGATGAGACGGCCTATTAATCGACGATAATGACCGGGGTCATCAAGGAGGTCTCCAGTGCCACTTATCTAGTTTTAGATGCTGCTCCATTGGTATTGAACTAGGTTTGCAACCAAGGAGGCTCGCATTACCGAGGATATCAAGGGCATACTTTCGTTGGCTTAGGTGAATGCCCGATGTAGAACGAGCAATTTCCAAACCAAGAAAATATTTAGCCGGTCCCAAATCCTTGATTTTGAAGGCGAGTTGAGGTGAGTTTTGATATTATTGATCAAAGAAAAAATAGTGCTCGTGATTATGACATCATCAACATAAACAAGGAGAGCAATAAAGTCGAAGCCACTAGTGAAAGTAAACAAAGAATAATCACAGAGAGATTGTTTGTAACCAAGTGATTGAAGAAAAGTAAAGAATTTTTCAAACCATTGTCGGCTAGCTCGTTTATGTCCATACAAGGACTTATTGAGTTTGCATACTCGTGGCTCCCCCTTGGTATAAAATCCCGATGGAGGTTGCATGTATATATCCTCATGTAAGTCACCATGCAAGAATGCATTGTTTACATCTAGTCGTAATATGGGTCATCCTTTAGAAGCTACCACAGCTAAGAATGTGCAAACGGTTGTCATTTTGGTAATCGGTGTAAATGTTTCTTGATAATTAAGTCCTTCTATCTCGTGTATAGGCCTTAGCTACCAAGCGAGCTTTGTATCGTTTGAGTGACCCATCGAATTAAATTTGAGTTTGTATACCCATTTACATCCCATCGCACGTTTTCTCGGTGGGAGGGAAGTCAAAACCCAAGTATAATTTTCTTCTAAAGCTCTTATCTCATTTTCCATTGCATTCCTCCAATTTGGATCTTTAACGGTCTCGGTAAAAGTGTGGGGTTCGAGTGGGATTGTGATTTGAGAAACAAAGGTATGGTGAGAATCCGAAAGATTAGCATAACAAAGAAAATTGGATAGGGGATATGGAATAGAAGGTTTACTCGATTGAAGATTGTTGCCAGCCTATACCGAGGTGGAGAGTCGGCGGACATAATCATAGGTCCATTTTGGTGGTCCGGTTAGACGAGATGAGCGACGAACGGGTGTATTGGTTGTAGAGGAAGGATTATCTTCTTGGTGGAGTGAAGTAGATATATCTTGTGAATGTGTGGGAATAATTGAAATGTCTTGTGGAATTGGGTGATGGGTATTAGGTGGGCTAGGTACGGGAGGTCGAAGCCCGAGTGGGGCTAGTAGGAGGGTTTAGTGCACGGGTTGGGCTAGTAGGAGGGGTCGGCGTGGCTTTGTTAGGCTAACGAGTCAGTGGCAACGATGCTTAAGAGACATGCACGTCTGGATTAGAAGGGAAAAAGTGACACACTATCAAGGATAGTTGGGTTAGCACGGGTGGTTGGTGATATTTGTAGATCTATATGTGTGGCAGGAGTGTCATTTGGAGAGATAGACTACGTGGTTATAGGATTGCCATGAGTGGGTTCTAGATATGGGTGCTCGAGTAATGATTTCATGTGGAGAGAGAGGCTTGGTGGTCGAATCACATATGGGTTCCAAATTTGGTGGTGCGAGTGGTGATTTCGTGTGAAGGGAGAGATTTTATGGCTAAAAATGTATCTTCAAATTCAATGGTGTCGGTGGGGAAGAGTCTGGTGAGGAAGGTCAAGGCTAGTTTTGGGGGAGAACGGGAAGGTTGTTTCTTCAAAAATCACATGTCTCGCTCATAAAAATCTTTTGTGAATGTAGATCCATCACTTTGTATCCTTTTTGTCTTGAAGGATATCCAAGAAAAACACATCTAGTTGCTTCTTGGATCAAATTTATCTCGCCCATGTGGATTTGTGGAGACAAAGCAGAGGCAACCAAATAATCTTAAATGGGTAAATGATGGAGGTTTATTGTAAAGTAGTTCATATGGGGTTCTTTGGTGAAGTGGGGAAGATGGTATACGGTTGATAAGGTGAGTGGTCGTTAAGATGCAATCTCCCCAAAATTTCGGAGGTAAATTAGCTTGAAATCTTAGTGGTCCGTGCAATAAAAAGGATGTCTTCGGTGTTTTCTTTCAACAATGTCATTTCTGTTGTAGGGTGTAAGGGCATGTGCTTTAGTGAATTACTCCTGTTTTAGCCGGGAATGAGGTGAGTTCATGGTTGAAAAACTCGACCCATTATCCGATCTAAGGGAGTTGAGCCTTTTTCCAAATTGGGTTTCGGTTATGGCAACAAAATTTTGAATGATTTTTGGGACTTCGATTTTGATGGAATGAGATGAGTCCAAGTTGCTCGGGAGTAATCATCCACGATAGTGACAAAATATCGAGAGCCACCAATAGTTGGAACTCGGTATAGACCCCAAACATCACAATTTAATGAGCTCAAAAATACTAATGGTGAATGAATTGCTTTTATTGAATGATAAGTGTTTCTGCCTTGCCAATGGGCAAGTTTCACATACTAATGGTTGCAAGTCTCTTATTTCGAGAACATAATCCGATAAATGTTGCATTCGAGAAGGTGATAGGTGACCAAGGCGATAATGCCAAAGCTTGTGGAGGGTTTGTTTGTTGATGGATATAGAAAAATTGGAAAGGGCTTTTGGGATAAATCCGGAGAAAGTGTAGAGGCATTCAACTCGTCCGCCAATCCCCATAGTCTTCCTCAATACAAGGTTCCGCACCAAACAACAATCAGCGAGAGAATTGGACCACATAATCGAGGTCCTCGGTCGGTTTACTTATGGATATTAAGTTGTATTTGAAACTTGGTACGTGTAATACATTTTGTAATGTAATTTTATTTGTGAGTACTATGGTACCAATATGTGTAATTTTGGTTTGTGTTCCATTTGGCATATTAACGTGAGGTATTGAAGAAAAAGGTTGTAATGTTTGAAATACATTAGGATCCGGGCGAATGTGGTCGGTTGAGCCACTCGTCCAAGATCCAAACAGGGGAATGAACACTTTTAAAATGAGCGAGAAAGAAAACAATATGAGGTTTTACTAGCAGTAGTTTCAGCAGGTGCTTTGTCTCCGGGAGTTGATAACAAGGACAATAGCTATTAAAGTTGGTCCCGGCTTATCCCGATGGATGCCAAGTTGACGAAGGGTTTCCACCTCTTGAAGTGTCAAAATTTTATTTGTGTTTGTAAAGTTTATGCCTAGGAGGGTATCCCACCGGTTTATAGCATTCACTCTTGCAGTGCCCTAGTATGTTACAATTTTCACACCTTGGTTTCCTTTGATTACCATTCTTGCTCCAATTTTTGTTGTTGCCGTGATTGAAGTTAGACAAAAATGCGGAACTTTCTACCACATGGGGCACAACAACTCGTCTCTGCTTTTCATCCCGAATCAACATGTTATAAACTCGAGTAACTCGGAGGTAAAGGTTGCATTAATAAAATCGACCTCGAATTCGTCGAGTAGGAATCATTTAGACCCATGAGCAACTGCATGATTTTTTGTTCTTGTTGATATTTTTCAAGAGCCTTTGATGCCTCACAATTACACTTAACAATATTGCGTGTACATATAGGGAAAATGGTGAGAGAATTCAGCTCATCCCACAATTGTTTTAGCTTCATATAGTATGTTGATATTATGGAAGATCCTTGACTAAGAGAGCATATCTCTCTATGTACATTGAAGATTTGAGGCCCATTATTCCCGAATACATATCATTCGGATCTGTCCAAATTTGTGCAAGCAGTCTCAGCAGTACACAACTCCATCGGAGATATCTTTGCTCATGGCATTGAGAAGCCAAGAAAGTACCATTTAATTGCATCTATCCCATTGGTCTTTCAAGGTAGAATCTTCAAAGGGCCTCTTGCAGTACCAGCTTACAAATCCAAGTTTATTCTTTGCAGAAAGTGCAATCATCATCGATCGCCTCCATGGCCCATAGTTTTCGAATCCTTTTAGGACTCGATTGACTAGCATGATCCCGGGATTGTCCGCATGATGTATGTAGAGAGGGTTGCTATAAAGGTTATTGGTTGGATCTGTAAGATCTATTGGAATCACCATTTTTTTTCTTTTGTTAAAGTTTCTTCTTTTGTTCCCTCCATTGGAGTGAGCAATGATACTCGTCAAAACTTTATGAAAGTTTTGATGGAAGGAAAAGTATGATCAATAACCTAGCTTTGATACCGGGATAAGATAAATTAGGCGAGAAGACGAAAGAGAGGAATATTTCTCCACTCGTCTTTTAAATTGATTACAAGCCCTATTTAAATACCGGAGGCATTAAATCTATGTACAACTGTATGGTATTCAACAAAGGAAATAGGCTCTAATCTAGGTGCCAAATGAAGGGAAATAATTAAGGAAAAACAACTTAAGAAACTCGCTATTTTAGGTGCTAAATAAAGGGAAACGAGCAAGGAAATACGTAGTAAGGGTTGAAAGATTTTCAACCCTTATCGAGTGTTCAATAGCCGAGAGGATGATGTTTCATTATCCCCCTCACAATCTCTTCTATTCCACTTCTAATTGCAAGTAAACAATGGTTTCTCCGGATCCAATGGCTTTGTCGCCGAGGTTTGTGCTCGTTGACATAGAATTACTTCTATTCCTTTGACTTTGAAAATAATTTCTTCATCACCTTGTTTGATGGGTCGTAAGTAAGGAGAAGTGTCGAATACATATCTCAAATTGAATAGTTAAATCAATAATGAATAATATATAAAATTGAGAAGAGGCTACCCGGATCGCCCACCATAAGGCTTAAGTCTTTTGGATGAAATTCAATTTCAACTATCTAACTCTATACTCGTGGAGCGATTCATCTATTTCTAGCAAGAGTAAAGCTGTTTCTGCAATATTTATTAGAGAATATAATGACGCTAATATTAGGGAACAAAGAATCAATTTAGCGAGACAATATTAAGGAAATTCATAAATTTTCTGATTGTATTTTATTTTGATTTGTTTTCGTCATTCTCTATATAAACATATCATATGTATAACAATCTATGAATCCATCAATACAATCCATGCAAAATATTATACATTTTTGTTATTTTTTAATTTGAGAATTATAGAGACAGATTATTACCAAAGTGTTGCCCTAAGATAGCAGCGCTAAGGATGGAGACTTTATCTAATCGTTGGCAGTGAATTGAAGGTAGGCAGCGGAGATGATGGTCCACTGTTTGTCCTGATAGTGACTCAAGCAAGAGCCTCACTATGTCTGTGTCATCAAATTCAGCAGCTGTAAACAATGGGGTTTCACCGGATTTATTTGTAATGGAAACTAGGTCTGGATAACGTTCCACCAATAGTTTTACTGCCTCAAAATTTCCATAGATGGTTGCATGGTGAAGAACTGTATTTCCATGATAGCTTCCACGCTTCAAGAAATCGTTTTGTCTAGTAGTAGTAATAGCAGCAGTAGTAGTAGTAATGGTGGTAGTAATAGCACTTAAAATATCAAGTAAAGCTTTAAGCGGTTGCTCTTTTTTGCTGCACACTGCTATATGAAGTGCAGTACCCCCAGAGAACGTAATTGGATCGAACAAATCTGGGGCATTCGATTTATAGTGTTCAATCATGCTTTCCAATCTCCATTCATGGCTGCTCGATAAAGTGACTCCTTTTTTGAAGCAGCTAGCTGATCTCTGTATTTAAAATAATGTAATTAAGTACTCATCCAAACACAAAATTAGGAAATTAATAAAAACTGTGTACCTTTCAGGAATGGCATGAAAGAGTGTGGAAGTAAGTTCCGGAATGGATGGATTATCAAAATTAGGAAGAGATGATGGAATGGCAGCTGATGAGGAGGGAGCAGTCAACGGAAGGTTTTAATCTGAGGGGATAGTAAGAGCTGCCATGGCGAGTTGAAAAAAAAAAAAAAGGAATGTCGTGGACCGTTAAATCTTTAAAGATTCTGATATCATAGAAGAGTTTATTAGCTACCTTGATTATAGGTTTTGATAATTAATTAAGCCATCTGACAATCCTAGCTATATATACAATCCATTGGTATCAGTGCTTTGCTTGTTTAGTTTATAAAGTCAACTATCATGAGGATAAAATAAAGGTAAAGTTTTTTTTTTTTTTCCTTTTATAAAAATAAAATAAAGATATGTTTTATTCTCTTCTCCTTTTATTTTTTATATTGATTTGTGATTAAATTCATATTTAAAACTGTTCAATACCAAAAAGATATCAGACTCGTACCTTTGTTTCTTTTTAAGTAACTGAATATTACTTTTTATAAAAGTAATTTACGTAAACAATGTAATAGTTATACACTTTGTATTTCAATAAATAAATATACAATTTTTTTTATATATGTTTAGAGGTATACAAATTAATATTTTAGTGTAAGAAAGTGATCTGTATAGCATTCTTTCTACCTGTTTCTTTTTAGCTTAAGAACTTGAATCCGCATAAAATAAATTAATTAAAATTAATTTTATGTCAGTTTTTTTCCCCCATTTAGAACTTAAAATAATGCATTACATTTATTAAAGCGTAGAAAGTAGTACTTTTATCGTACACACAAACTGATAATTGCTAGTTAACCTTATCTTTCACAAAATCATATGTTCTGCAGCTTGCCATCGTGATTCACATTCTTGCTTTTGAAATAACCAAACAAACAAACAAAAAAGATGAACGTTTATAATTACTAGTTTGCTTTTATCTTTTGGAATAATCAAAGTTTAATTGTTCTCATGCCTCCTAGAATATTTTATTAGATGTTCCCGTTTGTTTTTTGTACAAATTTACAGGCATGGTTTAATAAGAAAAAAGTTAGATGGTAGTTAACAAAATTATATAGTTGAAACAAACATGTGATGTGCTATTTAGCTAGATAGTGAAGGATTCCATTCAAAAAAAATAATAATAAGTCATACAGTGAGTGATTCTTTTCTAACTTTATTATTATTCATTTATTATTTATTTCTTCACTACGTGGAATAGGTTTTCTAACATATACAAAAAACTAGTGAAAGAAAATGATTATTGCCAAGCTACAAGGTTGTTGGTTCTATCCAGACTACTTTTGACTAAGGAATTAACCATTACATTTTCTTTCGAAAGAAAATGATTGGAAAAAACAAAACCCAAAGTCTTAATTACAACATTAATAGAGTTAAAAATATTTTAAAAATGTGCTTAGCATAAACTTTCACTTATAGAGTTAGATAGTTGAGATTGAGTTCCATCCAAACGACTTAAGCCTTGTGGTGGATGGTCCCTTCTCAACCTTATATGTTAATCATTTTTTGTTTATCTATTCAATATGAGATATGTACTCTTCTCAACGAGACCTCAAAAGAGATCCAACGGCCGAGCAAAGTCACTTGACGGACCCCAAAAGATGAGTCTGTAAGTAAAAATGATTGTTAGAATACATATCTCATATTGAATAGTTAAACCAATAATAAATAATATATAAAATTGAGAATAGGTCACTCACCATAAGGCTTAAGTCTTTTGGCTCACCTATCTAACGCTATACATCCAAAGACTTAAGCCTTCGATGGATGGTTCATTCTCAACCTTATATGTTAATCATTTTTTATTAACCTATTTAATGTGGGATATATGCTTTAATATCACACTCATCTAAGTAATAATATGAGTCAAATTCGATAATAATAGTAGTCAAATCTGATTTAATAATTCAATTCACTTCATGAGCATAAGCACGAGCAACACTCGATCTCCAAAACTTTCTTGACAACGTTAATCTCAATCTTTAGATTTCGTTATCTCCATTGGGATAAAAAAAATGCACAAAAAAATTTCTTCATAATTTCTTAAAAAAACCTTCAATACCATGTATAGAGCACAAAGTTATAGTTATTATATTTTAACTTTAAACTATTCTATTGTTCTACAATGTCAAAAACCCATCACAACCTAAAAATTTAACCTATTGAATGATTTTTTGAAAATAATTTAGATTACTCTCTAACATATTTCTTCAAAAAAAAAAAAATCTTTTAAACTTGAATCTTGTATATGTCCATCACTATCTTATACTTAATTATTTAATTTTAATTAAAAAAATAGATGTGATGAGATTCAAACTCATGACTATTTGATTATTAAGGTTCTAATACTAAGTCAAAAAATTATTTCAACCGAAAAGTTAAAAAATGAGGTCTCGAAATGATTTTATATTATTCTTTAATATACAGTTCATTTTTTCTTCTTCTTCTTCTCTCTCTCTCTCTCTCTCTCTCTCTCTCTCTCTCTCTAAGAAGCATGGTTGGCATATGCAATCTGGCATAAAATTGCATGGACTACGTTGATAGACAAAAGTCTAATAAGTCAATTTGTAATGGCAAAACAGCAATGTAGTTTCAATATCTCAAAACTTTTGATTTGAATGTGTGATTGCAGTGGACAAGTGCAATACAGAAAATTGATTTTTAGAGCTTAACTATACTGAAGATTAATTTTTTAAATAAAAAATATTAAAATTTTCTCCATTTATACAAATATTAAGAAAAAAATTATTTTAAAATCATTTATATAATTTTTTATTTGAAATGGACACATGTCAATCATTTATTGGTTCCATTTTGTTGACTATTAGCAATTAATCTAAAATCATTATTAAGAAATTACTTAATAACTTAAACTTTTAGATTAAAAAGAATCATAATTTTGTTTTTAGATTGTTCAGTTGAGGGAGCTTCAGCAAGAGCTAGTGGACGCTTCAGTCGTGATTCACAACATTCTTGCCTCTGAAATAATAATTATAAAAAAATAATAATAAAGACTTGGAACTTGTATGCTTTTTGCTTTTGGAATAATACTTCTGCTCAGTACATGTCCGTACGATGGGACAATTCAGCTAAAGCATAGTTTTGAGTGGCAAATTCACGAGATCACTTTGCCCTTTGCTTTATGCTTTAAAGAAGAATAATTAATTCCTTCTGCTTGGAGTACAGAGAATAAAGGAAATGATTATCTAACCAATCACTTAGCTTTCCGTTTGTTTGATGAAAAATAATTTTTAATAAAAAAATTAATTCTGAGAAAGCTATTTATTAAAAATTATTTTTTAAAAAATATTTTTTGATGTTTGACGAGTTAAATAGAAAAAGCTGTTGAAAAACATTTTCTAACATTTGTTTGACACAAAAAACGAAAATACAAAAACAGATCTGTAGTTGTTATATTAATAAATTTTGAAAGAATTTCAACAAGGCATGTTGATAATCTTATAAACTTAAACTAATAAATAATAATGTGATATTTTGTAGAATTAATTTCAACAAGGCGTACAAAAATTATTTGAATTTTTTTTAACATGTTCCTATCAATATTTATTAGTAGAATTAATTTTATTTTTTTTTAGTGTGAGAAAAAGAAAATAAAGTTAATCTTATTGAACTTTTTTATATTAAAATTTATAAACTTAAACTAATAAATAATAATGTGATATTTTGTAATTGAAATAACACTACTTGTAAAAACATAAAAAATATAATATAATTAGTTATTAAAAAAGGTCATATAATAAAATTAGAATGAAAAACTTGGTTGGATAAATAAAATAAAAAGCTCTTTCCATTCTATCAATTTATCTCATAAGCCATACATTCAGTTAAGAAGTAAAACATAAGTAAATACATTGATGGTGCTTTAAAATCACAAGTCACTTTATACAATATAGTCATTCCACATTTCTAATGCAATGACATCTCTTTTCACTAACCAGTCCCTATTCTCTTCCCTTTCCTCTCTTTGACTTAACCAAGTTTTATCCACAATCATGAATTGGTTTGATGTGGTAATTTCTTCCATAACATAATTATCGTGGTCAACTCCTATTATATGATTATGAAGGATACAACTTGTAAGCACAATATTCACTTGAGTTTTGTAGGACCAAAATGGTCGAGCATCAATACATCGAAATCTTTTTCTTTAGTATGTTGAAACAGCGTTCAATTGTTGTTCGCAAGGAAGAATGACGAAGATTAAATAACTCCTTTACATTCTCATGTGGATTCTCGATAAACTAGTTTAAATGGTATCGAACACCATGATATGGAGTTATCACTCCATTTCGGGTTCCGTAACTAGCATCACCAAGATAATATTTATCTACAAATTTTATGAAATATACCACCAATAAATATTTGTATACATTCATAACTATATGTGTAGACAATGTACATTAAAGATTTTATTTAATACTTTCCGGAATCTTAAGTCCTTTGAATCATGATAATGCATCGTTTAAGATATGAGAATCATGTGCACTACACGCCTAACCAGCTAAAATATAAGTAAATTTTAATTCAAAATTGATGGTTGCCAATTCATTTTGTGTTGTTCCGCTCTTTCTACCACAAAACTTTCCTTGCAATTCCATAGGTACAATTGCTTGAAATATGGGTACCGTCAAGTGCTCTAATGCAATCCTAAATAAAAAATTAATATTTATGAAAATCTAATTTTTAATGAAACTACTTAAAGTAAGATTATTATTATTATTATTATTATTTACAAATAAAAGAGATAAATAACCTTAAAATATGGAGAAAATCTTTCATTGTTGGAAATTACTTTGGGT